TGGTGTTGGTACAAGCGGTGACATTCGTCCGCCACCTCCCAACACCTACGTGATGTTTGTACAAGCCTCGTTCGAATGGTCAACATCACTCCAGTCCGCAAACACCAAAGTGTACGCGTACCATGTGTTGCACGGGCATCTAGAAAGACCGAGCAACTCATAAATGGCTTGAGCTCTTTTCCTAGAAGGTATTTTTCAATCAACCAGGCTCGAATGTATCCAAATAGGGTTTCATGCTAAGTGCTAGGTTATACCCTTGCCCTCTACGCATAACCCCGCATAATCGATCGTAAATCAAGTACAAGCATGTAATATTCATATTATCATAATCAAGATTCATAACATTTATACCAAGAAGATACTCAACAAGAGCATAGTCACATATCAACCATTTCATATAACATATCATATTTGCAAATAATGGTATCAAGTACCAAGATATGCATATCAACCAAATAAGCATACAATTGTCACAAAGAGGCAAAACAGTAACATATCTCATATTACACATATTGGCATAATCAACAATTAATAATATTCTAATTTGAATAATCGAACCATTTTTAGAAAGTAGTTTTCGACTATGTACAAGGTTTAAAAAAAGTCTATCAACCCACTTTAATAAGTCTTTAATTTATTTTTGTAGAAACCTCCCTAAAGTAACATTTAATTCATTTATATGGCTTTCAAAGCCAAATTTGCGATTTTGGTCCCTTGAGATTCGTTCCTTGATCGCCATACACCTCCCACTTTAACTTGATTTAGTTCAACCCGTCAACTTTTATGCACTGAATTTTATTATCTTGAATAAATTCTAGAATTAATTAAATAACATTATTACAATTTAATTAATAATTAAATCCTATAAACAATTTGAATTAAGATTAAATCCGTTATACCCTAATTAGTCTAATTTCTTTTATTTATCATATATTAAGCACATTCAATCTCTCTTCGTAAACACACATAAAGTTTAATTCTAGTAACGGAAAACTAACTTCACTGATATAGAGAATCGGGTCGTTACAGAGATATATGCATGTATCATATTACATAAGATGATTATAAAAGACGAATGAAAGTGATATGTGAGTATCACGAAAACAAGATCATTCCCAAGACACAACCAATATATATCGATGGCGAATAGTACATTGAAAGAAGAATTGAGATACATAACTATGAAACATGTCACTATCATTCTATAGACTTAATGGAACATATTTACGGAGTTAAAAACATTGATCCGATAGATGATTCGGAAGACGAATTCTCCGATGACAACTTCTTTTAGCATGTTTTAGTTTTTGTTTTTGTTTTTTTTTTTGTTTTTTTTTTTTTTTTTTTGTGTGTGTGTGTGTGTGTTCTTAAGATTTTATTTTTTGCTATGTATTTTTTGTATTATAGTTAATGTAATTTTAAGTTTTATTTAAATTAAAATTTTTAAATAAAAAAATTAATATGACATGTCGTGGTGACCATTTTTTGTGTGGCAAAAAACAATAAAAGTGTGGTAAAACTGAGATGTGCCATAAAAAAAAACAACCACCATAACTCCACTCCCTTCTATTTTCAAATTTAGGTAGTGTCTCGGTTAAATTTATTTAGATATATACATAATTTATTTGGGATAATATTGATGATACAAAAAAAAAGGTTGTAAAAGTATTATAATCTATCTCTAAATATTATTAAAAGAGAAACCTTATGACATCATCTAAAACAATCTGGATCGTTGATTGTGTTTTCTTTATAGGTTTTACACCCTTAGATCAATTTGCTTACGTCGCCTTGATCAAACAAGGAGTCAACCCGTTATATTAGGAAATTAAATGTAGGAATTGAATGAAAATAATACTTGAATTCTTTCCAAACTTACAACTACAAAACTGGTTCATTGTTAATGTAAACCTTAAATTTAGGCTCTATTTCCATTCAAAATTGCTTTCCAAATTATATTTTATGTTGAAATCTCGGAAACTATTAATTTCAAATTTCAAAAATTTTGGATATTTTTATGAACCAATACACTTTCAAGCATGATATCTTTTATTTTAAGTTTAAATGAGATTTCAATTGATTACCTGCTAATTTTCATCATATTGACTTGTATATATATTTCAAACCTTTTTAATAATCGATTTACACAAACATTATGTCATAATTCTCATATAGAAAACAAAATCTCTAAATATTATTAAAAGAGAAACCTTATGACATCATCTAAAACAATCTGGATCATTGATTGTGTTTGCTTTATAGGTTTTACACCCTTAGATCAATTTGCTTACATCACCTTGATCAAACAAGAAGTCAACCCGTTATATTAGGAAATTAAATGTAGGAATTGAATGAAAATGATACTTGAATTCTTTCCAAACTTACAACTACAAAATTTGTTCCTTATTAATGTAAACCTTAAATTTAGGCTTTATTTCCATTCAAAATTTCTTTCCAAATACATTATATGTCGACATCTCGGAAACTATTAATTTCAAATATCAAAAGTTTCGGATATTTTTATGAACCAATACACTTTCAAGCATGATATCTTCTATTTTAAGTTTAAATGAGATTTCAATTGATTACCTGCTATTTTTCATCATATTGACTTGTATATATATTTCAAACCTTTTTAATAATCGATTTACACACACATTATGTCATAATTCCCACATAGAAAACAAATGCAAAAAAACTTCAACCTTCCCATCAGTCTGATTAGTCGAATAAATGTATGTATTTCTTCCTTAAATCATTTTAATCTGTAAGTTTGATATTGTTTTCGAAATTATTTGTTTTTACTCATTCGTATGGTTTTTTGTTAAATACTTATAATTTGGATGTATAATGTTGTTTTTGATTTTTTTTTTGATGTTGTGTTCGGTTCTTGATTCCATCTTTTTAATCGGTAACTATGATCCTATTTTCGAAAACAATAAATTCAATGTTAAAATTGGATGTTATATATAATGAAATTATGATGTTACATGTGTGTGTATACCTTTGTAAAAAATCAATAGACAAGAAAAGAGATGATATGACATAATATAACAGACGGGTTGTACAAAAGACATAAATGCCCTCATTATAAAGTTTTTTTTTATGTCTCCGGTAGTAACAAAATAAGAATAATAGAAAAAAAACTAATAGCTAGGTTGTTAACTTAGGTAATCATAAAAGTTTTATGAAATAGTGAAACAAGGTCCAAAAACTACAACCTGATTCTTTTAGGGACCGAATATGTAAATCACTAAAAATAAATGAAAAAACTTTTGTTTATACTCATCCCCCCCCCCCCCCCCCCCCATTTTGAGGTCATGGTAGTAGATTGAGCTTCATCACTTCTGGCCCTAATTTGGTCTTTGCTTTATAGTAAGGAATGTTCTTTACTATCACTAGATCATTTCTTGCACGTTCAGGATCCATTGATATAATCTCTGTTATATTTCAAATTCAATAACAAAATTGTAATTAATTAATTTCTCATTGAAGTTAATAAATTATAAATTTATCTCACTTCCTGCTCATCCAAGTTTTCTCATTGCTATAGCATCACGAAGTTGATCATATTGCATATTTTTCTAAATAAGAAACACTAATATCAACAAAAGAAGTTATTTAATTTCGTAATAAAGTTGAATTAAAAAATAAGTAAATAAATAAATAAGAAATAGAAGAGCCTTGTATGACCACCATATTTTATGTTTGACCTCATCAACATATTTAAATCCTTCCATAATTTGAGGCATTGTGATTAACCAAAATGCAATAATGCTTGGATCTTTCATGCTATCAATAATATGCTGAAACACAAAAGTAGATGTTTTGAAGTGAGATAATTATTACAAGAGGAAAAGGGGTAGAATCGTAATTGGCATTTACCTCATAAAGGTTTTTTGTTTTTTTTTTCATTATGTTGTAAGCTTTGCATGCAGGCTCGATAATTTGCAAAGTAAATAAAACTAAAAGGGTGTTTCTTTTTTCCTTCATTAAACTCTATAGGGAATGACTATATGGATAAAGTATTCTATACATAAAGATTGTAGATAAAGATGGAAAATAAAACGCAATAGATTATGAGAAATCACAAAAAATAAGAACCAAACATAGGAACCAACATCGAACAAAAACCCTACTTTCTTTACTTCAAAAAAAATCAACATATCTGCACATACTCAAAACCGTAGAAAGAATTTCACAAAAAAAATGTTATTTCATAAACAAAGGAGCCTGAAAAAAAAAGATGGTGGTAAATCGAAGAAGGCATATCAAAATCAACAAACAAAACGAAGATATAAACATAAATGATGGACCTGATAAATGATTTCTGTCATATCATCCCTAAAATAAAAAAGAAGTCATCAATTAATCTTAACATTGTCAATGATATTGACAATAACTTAGATTAAGGAAAAAAAGATATGATATTAGAGATGAAGTGGACGGAGATGATTAGCTTCGTTGCAGATTTATTGGTTATAGTTTCTTTATATTTAATATTGTGGGGGGTTTTATGTGGTTCATTTTGAAGGAACATAAATAAGTTGCTATTTTTTGAAATAAACAATTATATTTCGCAATATAACCATAAAATAACAATGTATTTTGAGACTACATTGTTAAATGTTGGATTATACTTGTGTAGACTCATTTTCATGCATGGTTGTTTATATATAGTTGTTTTCTGTGTCACAAGTAGAAAACGTTTGAAGGTATTTATATGTGACAAATAAAGTCATTAAACTAATAAAACAAAAAATGTTGTCTATAAAGAGATCCTTTAACACTATATATATTTACCTATTTTAGTATAATTTCTACACATTTCAATAATGCCAATAACCCTACTTTTCTTATAATTGTTTTGTAATATCTATATAAATTTGTATTTTATTTATGTGTTATCCGCGTTTATCGCGGATCATAATCTAGTATAATTATAAAAATTAATACTAGTATATGATTTATGAAGTATTTTTATTCTATTAAAAATAAGCGTGGTCTCATCACTCATGCGCTGGGCATACTTTGTTGCATGTACGAACAGAAACACACAGAAGAACACCGGCGACCGATTGACGATTGTTGTAACTTTTAACATTCGAATCCCCAAAATCCCACTCCACATTTCTACTAAAACCCTAAAATATCAGTACTCCGTAAGCTTCTCTCCGTTAATCTCTTAATTTCTGCTTCACTTCCACTTTACTGAAGATTGTTTTCACATCATCACTTGTGTTTATACATTCGTATCAGTCCAATCGTTACCTTTTTATTGTTTTAATGCAGAATCGTATTTCTTCTTGATAATAAAATTGGTACCTGTTCTTCTTTTTTGCACGTAGTTAACGATATGTCAAATTAAATACTTCCTGCGTTTTATAAGAAGCTACATGTCGTACATGAGAAATGTTAAATTTCATAAGTTTTTCAATGATTTGGGTGTTTGATATAGTTTATCTTTGAAGAATAAGTTTACAGCAAAGGAGTAACCCCTCGGTCTGCAAAGTTTTTTATTGACACTTGACTGCTATTCTAGCAGTAATTATGACTGCTTAAGCTGTCTCCAACGGGTTGAATGTCCCCTCATAGCTTCAATGATATGGGGGTTAGTTAGATTTCACATTTCCAGATGAACTGCTCAATGTGAAATTTCATATTGTTTACATTTTCTTTTTGTTGATATGAACTGTAGTTATTTTCTTTACTATAGAAGCCTGGCCCTTTGCTAATGCAGTTGATTTTTACAATTGTCATCCATGCAGTTTTCTCTCTGGATAAATATGGATGAACATGTTGTTCAAAATGATTGCGATTTGCAGTTGTCCTCATCTACTTTAGAAGGAAATTTCAATTATGCACCTCATTTGGGTGAAAGTAGTTTGTATCAGCACATAACTAAAGCAGAAGATTGTGATAGCTACTCTGCTCCTCAATGGATTGGATACCAGCAGATGCCTCCATACTATGTTGAGTATCTTGTAGGAAACGGGATATCTGATATGCAAGGAGAAATACCACATGACACTAATGGAATCGGATGCAGTTTTACATCTGAAGAGTCTTTTCTCAGCATGGAAGCCCATCAGGTAGACCCACACCCACATATGTGTATATGCATAATGATTGATTGCCATATCATGAGTCTTTTCTTATGCATTTCATACAACATTATGTCATATGTCAACAGGTAAGACAATCAAGGTGTCAACATGAAGAAATACTGGCGAACAATTTCAAAAACACACAACATCAAATCTGCTATCAGGTCACTTAAAAACGTCAAGTTGTCTCTAGTACTACATGATGTCAGACATGAACACATCTATCTATGTGTATACATTTTTATGATCATTACATATTTACATTAATATCATATTCAGCTGTTTCATTATCCTTGACAGAAGCAAGGGCTAGATACTGCTGCTCAACACAAGCCAAACATGTCAGGCATCACCACATCACGCAGGACATATATGAGACAGAAGGCCACTGATGCAGATCGTGTAAGTCTGGTTCATATTAGCCAGATTATATTATCACACCTACAAATACAATACCAGTTTGTTTTGTTTTCTGATCACTGTTACCATGTCCAAATAAAAATGCTTTTGAGTTTATTATTTTTTCTACTTTTCAGCGTCGCAGAACAAGGATTGCAGCATCACTAGATGCATTGGAGGATTTGCTTCCACAGCCCAAACAGGTAATATGGATGGGTGTTAATGTGTTATGCTGCTTAAATGTTGGGTCAAATGTGCATTTATGCTACAGCATTTCACCTTTTCCCAGTTTGTGCAAAAAAGTGATTTTTTTTAGATGAAATATGCAATGGGTTTCTATATGACGTGGCAATTAGTTAAATCCTTAATCATGTAAAACTTTTACAAATTTATGCAACTGGGTGACACACAATATTTTATAATTTGATGTTTGTCCCTTTGTTGAAGATGAAGGAAGAAGAATGAAATTAGGTCAATGTGCGCTACATTTGTCCAAAAGCAACCCCCATTTCATTTAATCGCCATTTTTTCTGCAGGGAAACAAAACAAACATAGTTGATGACTGCATAGAGTATATAAAGTATTTGCAGCTTCATATGAAGGTGAGAGAGACTGTTGTCTTGCAACTTAACAAAACCCCTAAACTCTTATAAGATGATTCATTGCCATGTATGTACAATAAAAGTGGTCTAGTTTCTTTCCGTTAACCCAGTCGGGTGAATATTAGAAAATCATGAGTTTTAAATCCCTCAAAATGGTGCAGGAATTGAGTCAGAACAGATTGGTAGGGGAACCAACTTCCAATCACTTAACTTACCTTGAGGTATGTCTATGTCTAGCAATAAAAATGGTCTTCTACTGTGTTTGTGTTTGGTATGTATTCCACTGCTTTTTAAGGACTTTTTCAAAAGGAGTTTTTAAAAAAAGTGTTTGGATTAGCTTTTTTTAGTGGGAAAAGTCAATGAGTTAAAAAGTGTTTGGCTAGCTTAAATCTGTAAAATGACCCAAAAAACAACTTATTGACTTACGCTTTTCCAAAAAACCAGGTATTTGTAACCTGTTTTTTCAACCTTACTAAGAAGCCAAATTGAAAAGTCCTTTCCTCCTATCCAAACATTTTTTTTTTTTTTTAACTTATTGGCTTTTTGAACAAAAAGCCAATAAGTTAATAAGTTGTTTCAAAAGGCAATCCCAAACACCCTCTGGAACTGGGACAAAAGTTACAAATTTTATTTATGTTTCAGTCAAAAAAAAAAAAAAAAAAAGATGGGACAGGACAGGTATTAATGCTTGTCAGTGCAAAAAGACGAGAATGCCCTCTTCATAAAAACAATCAGAAAAGGGCGTGGTGAAATAAAATAATAATTATAATTATATAATTACAATGGACAGGGATATGGTGCTTACCTTGTTGATGAAAAGACTGCTACTGCTGGTGGACCACTGGAAGAGATGCTTGGAAATTTGATGGAAACAAGTCCCTCTGCAGCAATTAAGCTGCTAGAGAGTCGAGGTCTTTACATGATGCCTATTAATGCTCGCTCCTCCTAACTCCTAACTCCTAACTCCTAATTCAGCATTTGAGATTTCAACAAAAAACACCAAACACCTGTTATTTGTTAATGTTCTCTCTAAATCCTACTTGTCTTTTACTACTTTTATCATGCACTTCTTATTCCATACTATATACTCATACTCCCTCCTATCAACAAACAATATGCTTTAGAGATAGTGATACGGTTTAGGTGGATGGGATGGGCAACCTTAATATATATATATATATATATATATATATATATATATATATATATATATATATATATATATATATATATATATATATGTATGTATTCCACATTTTGCCCTTTAGTCATCATAAGGTTGGGGTCAGTTTGGGTATTATTCCATGATGCAGGGATATTGTGGGGCTTTGCCAAGTTGGTCAAACCAGATGCTCAGATAAGCTAGCTTGATTCTCTTGCAATTTTAAGTCAAACAAATGGAATCCAAATAGTGTGGTGAGTGGTAAGGTCATTTGATCTTGATATATATATATATATATATATATATATATATATATATATATATATATATATATATATATATATATATATATATATATATATATATATATATATATATATATATATTGAAGAAGAAGAAGAAGTAGAGAATAAATTAAGGACCACAGACAAAAGTAGTCCCAAATAGAGGACAAAACAAAAATAAAAATGGTACTAACTAAACTAGTATTTTGTTTGTATCCCTCACCATTCACCACTTTGGCTTGGCTTGGCCACTGTTCCAACAAAGGGTCAACTGGCATTTGTTCTTGTTCCTTTTTCCTTTTAACATTGCCCCCAACCCCAACCCCAACCCCTCCCTTTCTCCAACTTCAAAGCATCTGTATTCTGGTTAAGTAATATGTCTGTTTTTAGATTTCTTAAATATAATAATAGTATATTTATTAAATGTGATTCACCTTTTTTTTTTTTCCTTTATAAAAGTAGGGCTAAAACTCATACTTGATCTTTAAACGCTTTATTTATACGTTATTGGCGATCTTCCCTTTGGTTTTGTGCCACAGCTCTTTAGTAACTTAATTATGGTTTTCCGTTTTATATATATGGTAAGTAAATTCAAATATACGCTATTTTGTTTTTTTGCTAAAAATAAAATAAAAGCTAATTTTTTGGCTTTGTGTTTTGAAAACATTTTTTTTTCTTTAATGTTTTTAGAAAGTTGTAAACTTCATAGAATATAAGATAGGATAAGCGTTTATGATTCTGAAAAATGAAAAAAACTGTCCACGAAAGATGAGCCTTTTAGTGTGTTCACTTTCATGGTTAACAAAAAAGTGGTCATGGTTCATGAGAAAGCCAAATATTTGACGTTTTGTTTTCACTGAAATTAATTTCCCATTCTGTTCTGTTAAGTATATTTGAAGAAAACACATGATTCAATTAGGTATATTTGAAGAAAAAAAATCGTTTTTTTGACGTAAACTTACCTGAAAAATTATTTGTAATACTCTTTTACATGTCCTTGTCATCTTTTTTTTTTTTTTTTTTTTTCTTTCAAAGTAGCCACAAGTATAACGTGATAGGGCTCATTACCAAGTCACAACTCACAAGTGTATTTGCAAAATCCAATTTTTCGTTAAACTCTTACGTTCTGATCAATTTATGATAAAAAAAGGGATGATTTTTCTAAATCAACTTTTTTTCCTAATAAATTCAAATACAAGCCAAATGGGGAGATAGAACTATAATATAAGGCTTGGTGGCAAAAAGTTATACCCAAATTGAAGACGTTGACATTCATGAAACCTTTGTTCTGGTGGCAAAAATTGTGACGGTTAGATGTGCCTTAGTTGTTGTCTTCAAGAAGTAATAAGAGCTACACCAACCGGATGCGAACAACTCCTTTTACATGGGGATCATGACGAAGAGGTGTATACAAGGTTGTAGAACTTGTTATTCGGTACCTGCTCGGCCGACTGGGGAGTAGCGAGTACTCGGGAGTATTCGGATTCGGTAATTCGTGTAGAAATATTTTTTGGAAAATTATATATGCCAAAATCATAAGTTAAAATCATAATTTCATTGAAATATATAACCAAAATTAGATACATATGAATACATAAAAACTAAAATACACATAATTGTCTCACTATGTGAATAATTACTGAAAATTTAAGATATATATGTAGTAATAATCACATGTGTGTGTTAAATAATAAATCATTAAGTGTATTATACATATTAATCTTGAAATTCTTGATTTTTGCTCTTTTTATGACAATTTTGACCCATTGACCGAGTTTGACCGATTTTGACCGAATTGGCCGAGTTTGACCGCGTAGGCCCGAGTTTGACCGAGTTTGACCGATTTTTGACTGAGTTTCACTGAATCCGAGTTTTTTGGCCGAGTTCACATTACTCACCTCGGTGGAGGACCGATTCCGAGTAATCGGCCGAGTACTCGGCCGAAGTAGGTCGAGTTTTGCAACACTTGGTGTATATGAAATTACTAAATAGTACTAATTTACAACATTCAAACACTGTGTCAATAAGTTGCAAAAATCAATTTATGGTTTACAACAAACCTTCAGAAAATTCATATCAGAACTTCACTAAGGCACTTACTAGTAGCAATTTCCAACACTCAAAAGTGTATCACTCCATATTCATTTTTAGGACTGCAACGACTCACATGGTTGCTCTCATTTATGTATACAAAACTAAAGAAGTAAAATATAACTTACAAATATAGTTTTGTATCCAAGACTTGGGCCCACTCAAATATTTTTTGGGTTCATGGTTGAAAGGTCTCCACAAGGTTATGTAACCAATCAACTAAAATATAATTTGGATATTAGAGGTCTCCACAAGGATATGCAACCAATCAACTAAAATATACTTTGGACATTCTTGAAGACCTGATGATCACTCAAATATTTTTTGGGATCATGGTTGAGAGGTCTCCACAAGGTTATGTAACCAATCAACTAAAATATACTTTGGACATTCTTGAAGACCGGATGATCAAGCATGTGGACCTAGTGCATTCCCTATGGAACATATCCTTCAATTGCAAAAAGAAGATGAAAGTCCAAAAGTAGATTTATCAATATATACATACGTCAGGTGGGGCAGTCGTTTTTCCTTATTGTAACTCGACCATATATATCATTTAGTGTTAATCAACTCAGTTAGTTCTTAAGCAAGTCTTGACAGTCTCATATAGATTTAACATTTAAAGTCATTTGCTAGTTGAAGACTACTTTGGGTCAAGGTTTATTCTTGCCTTCTACATGAAATTTGGAACTTGTGGCTTACTATGTTGCAAGTTGGCTATGTTCTTCCACACAAAGGTCATGCACATGTTATTTCATAAGTATCGGTGGTTCACTCATTTCTTGGAGGATCAAAAGGCAGAGTGTAGTATCTAGATCCTCTGTAGGGAGGAATATCGAGTCATGGCAAACACTATTTGTGAAGTGTTGTGGCTATAATGGTTGCTTTGTGACTAGACGCAATACATGTAGGAGCTACACCGTTAATATGCAATGATGGGGCAACAAGACATATTGTTCCCAACCCGATATGTCATGAACACACGAAACATGTGGAAATGGATTGTTACGTCATAGGAAAACGTGCAAACAATGGATAAATAAAAACCGTTACTATCTGGTCCGAGCATCAATCGAAAAACATATTCACTAAAGTCTTTGGGTCAGACCAAATTTAGTTTTTACGTAACAAGTTGGAAATTGATGTCTTTCCTAGGCCAGTTGTATTCGCAAAATGATCCAAAATCAAAGAAGTGACATTAGCCAGAGCAAAGAATGATGAAAGAGTTTAATGTTATTTTAATTAACAACTTGGGGGTTCAGATCATTCAACACATAAAATTGTTTCAAAATGGAAATATATGCAAGAAAAAGTGAAATAATTTAATCTTATTTTCACCCACAAGATGAATATCGTGAGCCCGAAGTTTCTAACGAAGAACTTTTAAACGCAACAAAATATGAGTATCACAAACACCATAAATTGAAAGATTTTCGTTACGAGATGGTGTGTAATTTATTTAAAAAAATTACTATTCTTTTTCTAGAATTCAAGTATATCTTTTAATTTTCGTTTGTCGTTAGTAGTATGGTTTTTTATTAGATAAATTTATGAACTATGCCTTAAAATTTTTGTTTTGGGTTTCATAGAATAATATTTCATTCTACTATCTTATTTATATTTGAACTTCAAATTTTAATTAATTTATTTAAATTTAATCTCTAATATGAAATGATAAATTTGTAATGATTTTAGGGTTGTTGGAGTGGTGTCGGCATGTCATGTCCCACATGGTTGCTGACATGGTTATGGAGGGAAAATGGGAAATAGAAGGAAAGAAGATGATCATTGGAGATTTATGGAGGTTGGAGAGAGAATCGACATTTCCATGTCGATTTAGAGAGGAAACAAATAAGGAAGAAGATGAATGATGGAATAATCGATATGGAGGAAGGAGGGAACACCGTTCTCTTGTTTCATTGATTGTCCAGTTTTTCTATTAATACAAGGCAAACGACATCATCTAAATTACACTACTATAAATTTCATGGAAAATCTTACATATTTACCCGTTAACTTTACTCCTAAATATACATGTTTTGTCTCAAACGAGACTTGAATCCCAACCTTTGAATGGAAGAAACCTATCGGCTAACTCCTAATACAACTACACCAAAGGCCCTTTGGTATTTAAAGACAAATATCATTGATTCATGAATATGACACGATTTCATACAAATTAAAAGGAATTAGTTTTCAATTTGGATAAGCTTTCGTACTACAATCAAGCAAATGCAAATCTCATACCCGATGCATGAGTTTATCTTTCGAATAATAAATGTTTTCAAACCGAAACAATCATCCACTAAAAATAAAATTTCAACAACTACTAGAATAAAACAAATACTTGTTTACTTAATTTTAAAGGTATATACATTACACATGACATCTTAACAAAGTTATAAAAACATACAATAGCAAAAAATCTAGAAGTTAAAAAACTGATATGACGAAACCTAAAAACTGAAAAAATGTGTTATAGAGCCAAATACAAACTTCTTTAGTATTATGCCAAGGAAAGAAGTGAACCGATTCCATCTCTAAATATTTATCCCGCTACATTGTGCAGGTATACAACTAATATATATATATATATATATATATATATATATATATATATATATATATATATATATATATATATATATATCGGTTCCGATGAAAACTCAAAAAATAGTGGGGACTTTGAGGACAATTCTTTACTACCCATTTCGTTAAGAACACAAACGACAAACACAATACTTGGTTGTGGTGCGTTCGCATGCGACCAACGTTCGTTATAATTAATATGGACTCGAGGGTTAAATCACGTTCGATGAATGTCCATGGAACGCCATTCAAGTGAATTTTATTATTTATTTTCGTTTATTTTTATATTTAAAAAATCAAAAAAATTAAAAATTAAAGAGCTATATAGTCGGTTTTCATGTTTTTTTTTTTTTAACTTTTTCGTTTTTTTATATTTACTTTTTTTTTAATTATTATTTTTTTATTCTTTGGACATGCACACATGTTTCTTTTCTTTTCTTTTCATTCTTTTTTTTTTCATTTTAACCCAAATAATTATTTTGCCGGAAATTATCAATATCTGGTACATAATTACTAAAACGTCATATCATCTTGCGAGATATTAACGATAAATAAAATCAAATCTTCACATTTTTTTTTCAATCCTCGTAGTCCTCATTTATTTTTGAGTCATCACTCGATCCAACTGTCATATGCATGTTAATTGTGTTCATCAACAATCATATGACTGCTGGTTGTGTTATCAATAGGTTATATGACTGTTGATTGTGTATAAATTCATATTTTCATAAAATCTAATTAAAAAATCGTTAATTTTTTTAAACCTAAATATGGATTAGATGTACAATTTAAAGATGATTAGTGTTTTTGGTTTTGAAAAATGATGAACTGATTATGAATTTGCAAGTTATCACAAATCTTTTGAATCTTAAAAGAAATCGGATATATATATATATATATATATATATATATATATATATATATATATATATATATATGGCTAGGTTATTTTGTTTCTTTTTTTTATTATTATTTTTGGAAAAAAAATTCAAAAATTTTCAATTATTTTGCATTTTAAAAATATTTTTGTTTTATCTACTAAATAAGTGGTTAAGATTACGTCTCACGATGTCACAAAATTAGGCCGTCTCACATTAACTTATATACACTGTATATTTTTAATATGATTTTTAAAATGTTTAGAATATTCAACTAGATTTGCCAGATATGTAGAATATTCTAAATATTCAACTAATATATGTAAAAAATGTATTTTTTTTGAATTTATTTTTTACTTTTTTATTATTTTTGGAAAATATATATTCCGAAAATAATATTGGAAATTTTTTTTATCGAAAATTTTCAACTATTTTGCATTTTAAAAATATTTTATTTTTATCTATTAAATAAGTGGCTAAGGTTGCGTCTCACGGTGTCACGAAATTAAATCGTCTCACATGAACCTATATATATATATATATATATATATATATATATATATACATACATACATACATACATACATACATACATACATATATATATATATATATATATATATATATATATATATATATATATATATATATATATATAATCAACATCTTTTGAGAACGTATATATTACACTGTACATTTCTAATATGATTTTTAAAATGTTTAGAATATTCTATAAGATTTGTCAGATATGTAGAATATTTTAAATATTCAACTAAAATATGTAAAAAATGTATTTTTTTGTATTTATTTTTTATTTTTTTTATTCTTTTTGGAAAATATATATTCCTAAAATAATATTGGAAAAAAAATTTCGAAAATTTTCAATTATTTTGCATTTTAAAAATATTCTTGTTTTATCTACTAAATAAGTAGCTAATATTGCGTCTCGCGGTGTCACAAAATTAGGCCGTCTCACATCAATAGATGTGAGAAACATTTGAACTCACCTCTCTCTCTCTCTCTCTCTCTCTCTCTCTCTATATATATATATATATATATATATATATATATATATATATATATATATATATATATATATATATATATATATATATATAGGGGATAGTTCAAAAAAAAAAAAAACAACAAATAGTGTGAGAACATAAAAACACTATTTTATGTTATTATTCGGCAATAATTTTGTATCCACAACTTTATGTCATTATTCAGCAATCAATAAATAAATAGTTACAGGTTAAAAGAAAGATTAGAATTTACTATAAAAATACATATACATGAACTTATAATATAATAATAACATTCTAATGAACATATTAATAATCAAACATTATTTTTATATTAGAATTACTTCAAGAATACACATATACATCATTCATTACAAAATAATAACGTAAATATAGTGTTTTTACGTTCTCTCACTATTTACTGTTTTTATTTTAACTTACTTATATATATATATATATATATATATATATATATATATATATTATATATATATATATATATATATAGATAGATAGATTTAGGTTCAAATGTTTTTACTATTTATTGTATGCATGTATGATTAATTCTGGATCAATCATTTTAGTTATTTTAAGAAAGTAATTTATGCATATTAAATGCTGAAGATGCAATTAATGTCCTCTACATCTTCAACATGTAATATGCATTAATTATTTTATTAAAATAACTAAAATGATTGGTCCAGAATCAATTATATATGCACACAAAAGATAGTGAAAACAAAATAACCTAACTATATATATATATATATATATATATATATATATATATATATATATATATATATATATACGTTATGCATGATATATTTACTTCTAAAGTTTTTGGTTTAATATCCTATAAGAAAAATATAAGTTTTAATAAGCATGATTCAGAGACAAGACCAGTGATTGGCTGGATTAGCGTAAAGCGCGCAGATAAGGACGTAAGTCGCGGTGCCGGACCACAATCATCGTCGGGACGAATCCCCTCTGTTCACCATTATTAAAACAGGTAAGTTTTCTTATAGAATTTTAAAACAAAAAATATGAGTAAATTTTCAAGCATACTATCCAAAAAATATTTTCTTGGTAAAAATATCAATAATGAACAAGATAATGATGATAATCAAATAAATTCTATTGAAGAAACCGTTAATAACATAGAACAAAGTTTGAATAATTGGACAATACCTAAAACTAATATTAATACAATATATAAAATAGGAACTTTTGATTACTTTCAAGGTTATTCTATTAAAATGACAGAACAAACTTTGTCTATTGGTCAAAACCAACAAAATTTACATTTGTTATCATCACGATCTATTCTAGAGCATAGAACGAAATATAAATTTTTACATGTTGGTTTAGTCCAAATTGCTATCAAGCCTCTATTTAGAATTGGAATAGATGCCCCTGTTCTCCTTATTTTAAGAGACAGGAGACATAAAGATTTTCAAAATTCTATTTTAGCTATGGCTGAAACAAATATTGCTAACGGACCTATTTATTTCAATTGTTATCCGAATTTCTCTGTAGGATTATTTGATAAAAATATTTTAGATACTTTAGTTTTAACTATAGAAACAAAAAATTTAGAATTTAAGGATGATACAAAGCCTTTAGCAATAATTTATCGTGTTTGTTACAAAACTATGACAACTACACTTGAACCAAAAACACGTTTATCAAATCCTAAAAATGAAACAATTATTTTTGAAGCAAATACTAACCATACCAAAGTTCATACACCAAAAAGATTAAAATGGTCTGATATAACCCAATCATGTAATTGGAACTTACAAAATGTTATTGATCCAAAACCATTAGACTCTTCAAAACAAATCTCAAATATTATTGAATATAATGATGGTTCTATAGATATAAATTTTTCTTCCTTAAATATTTCATCATCCAGATTATCAACTTCTTTTCCAGAAACAGGCTCTTCAAAATCTTCGTTATTAAAGTCGAGATCTTTAAAACTAAAAACTGTTGACTATACTAAATCTATTCCCAAACCATTATATCAAGATGATCAAAATAGTGAAAATAGTCTTCCTAGTCCTACTAAATCAGATTTTATTGATGAACTTCAGAATTTTAAACAACAATTATGAGTTTTAAAATACAAATTAATTGTTCACAAAATAATAAGCTTTGGGCTAATATGTTAAAAAGACATTGGAAGATAAATTCTAATATATGCAAAACAATTCAACATTTAGAAGAAACTAAAACTTATGAAAATAATAATTTATACAAAATATCTCCATATACTAATAAATATAATAAACAAATAGAAAAAAATTTCTAGGCTAAAATAGGAATAAAAAAATACGAAAAATCAAGAAGTCATAATTTAGAATCGATAAAGCATATTTCTTCAATTCTAACAAAAACAACCTGTTAAAATGAATTTCTCGAATTTAGAATATCAAGTTGATTTTGATTACTTAAAAAATATTGAGTATTATAAAGATTATAACCGAAAAAAAAGAGC